ACGCGGGCAGGTGCGGCAGACGCGTAGCCGCGCAGCGCTCTGCGCGGCCGCGACCATGTATCTTTAAGTAAATCTTGCCAGACCTGACCAGCCATCACGTCTATGCAATGTGACAGGGACAGATGTGACAGATCGGTTCTGACACACTTCCATAGCGCGAGCCCGTGGCTGGAGGTGACTCGTGTCCTTCCCCTGCTTGTGTCCCCGCTGCAGGACAGCACAACGACGCACGAATGAACCTCGCCATCGCCCTCACTGCTGCCAGGGACAGCGCTGCCACAGCCAATTACACTGAAGTGCTGCGCTTGCTCAAGAGCACGGACCCGCAGAGCGGCCGGGCGCGCGTGTGCGGCGCGCGCTGCAGGGACGTCCTCACAGGTGCGTGTGCGCGCGGAGCGAGCCGCAGCCTGCCGCCGCGCGCCGAGCCCGCCGCGTGCCCGAGCCTGCTGTGTGCCCTGAGCCCTCTGCGTGCCCCAAGCCCACTGCGTCCCCGCGCCTGCCCGCTCGCACCGCGCGAGCCCGCTGTGTCCCCAGCCCGCTGTGTGCCCCGAGCCTGCTGTGTGCTCTTAGCACACTGTGCCCTGAGCCCACTGTGCCCCGAGCCCGCCGTGTGCTCCGAGCCCTCTGTGCCCCGGGCCCGCTGTGTGCCCGAGCCCGCACGCTCGCACCGTGACTGCTCCATGAGCCCGGCCAGCGAGCCGCTGGCGTGCAGGAGCACGCGGTGCCGAGGAGGAGGAGGAGGAGGGTGGGGAACACAGATGTTTGTAGATCCCAATTAGGTGCCGAGGGAGACGGCCCCGCGGAGCGCAGCGGCATGTCATTAGCGTCAATCATCACTAACTTCTGTCAGCTTCCACTCGGAGCCCTGCGCTTTGGCAGGGCCGCCCGAGCTTTGCATCCAAACCCTTCTGTCAGCAGAGCTGACGTGGTGCACTGCGATGTGCTGCGCGCTGATGGGGCCGTTTACCGAGTTCAGGAGTTGACTGGAACGTCCCTTGTTTGAGAGGCAGATCCCAGCTAAAGAAACTCCTCTCTTGGCCTGCCTCACGCCCTGCCTCTACGGGTGGCGTGGAATTGTGCTGCAAAGTGTTACATGAAAACACTATAATTTCTAAGAAACAATTCCAGCTGCCCCGCTCAGGCGAACACAGTATAACCTGCAGTAGGTTAAATTCATAGATAGATTAATAATCCCGGGTGTCAGGGAGGAGGAAAACAAATGGTGTGTGTGATTGATGCTGTTTTCTTTCACAGGGCAGGAATTTGATGTCAAAGCCAAATGTGTTATCAATGCTACAGGACCTTTCACAGACTCTGTGCGCAAAATGGATGATCAGGAAGTACCAAACATCTGTCAGCCAAGTGCAGGCGTGCACATTGTCATGCCTGGTTATTACAGGTAACGACACTCAGAGCCTAAACCATTTGTAACAGTCTCTGCTGGTGCCTGTAATAAATAAGGCTGCGGGAACGGGGCTTCTGGTTTTACGGTAGTCTTGAACGCATGCTTTGCTTTCCAAAGAAAGGCTGCTGGCACCGTGCCTATTAGAATAACAATTTTATCTATTCAGAAGCAGCCCAAGTCTTGTAGTCCTTACTTAAAGCTCATGAAGGCAAAACCCTCGCTGAAATGCAAGAGGGTTTAGGCAGAATATCTGCTACTGACTTGCAGAGGGCTCCTATTAGAATAAAGGGTTTTACAGCCGCATGTACTGACTGCCGTTATAGCTCCCTTATGACCAAGCACCCTATAAAACCTTCTCAAGAGGTTGCCACCTTCGTGTAATTTTTTTTATTCTATTAAATGTCAAACTTCATATAATGACTATCTGCCATTAAGTTTTGCCACTGAAATGGTGCTATATTATAGCTCTAGTCATAATAAACACGAATATAGCATTTACACAATATAGAAAATAGTTCAAAAGAACATAATTTAACAAAATCCTGACATTGAAGGAAAGCATCCTGAAACATCTAATACAGATGTTGGGAGAAATACTGTTTCATTGAGGGAAACAATTACAGAGAAATATAAACAACAGGGACAAAAAATAGGGAGATTCCTGATACTGTAGCAGGATTTTCTTGTGAGCTAGAGCAACTTCTGTGTAAATTTCATTAAACTAGTCGAAGTCAGTATTGCATTTGTTCACATCAGAGTTCTTTACTGTAAATGCTGCCATAGTCCTCAAATAACTTGTGGTTCTATTTCTTTGGAGGTAGCCAAATCAAATGAGCAAATTAGGTATCTTCTCGTTGTGGCCATTTGTGAAGAAGCCGCATTCGGCTCTACACCAAGAGAATATGTAATTGTGCAAGGAGACATTCCAAAACTTTGAATTGCCTGTGTAGAGTCAGGGAGAAGGTGGCTTGATACGCATGATAGCTCTGATTTATGTATTGTGTAATACCCTAATAATTTTAATTGGAAATCTGGAGAATTCTTGTTCTCCTTGTTCCCCAGTGTATGTCAGCATGTGGGCATTACTTTTCTTGGAAAATAGTATCTGCCCACGTACTGCCTCCACAGTGCTGCTGATCATATAAAACCGCCCTGAACCTCCTCTAGGTAGGACAGCTAAACCAAGGAACTGTGCTAAATAAAAAATACTTGTGGCATTTAATCTCAATTGCATCAAGTGTCTGCTCCTGGTGCCAAGTGAATACTCCCTAATGAGTAAGATTGTTGTTTCCTTGCATCCTCTTGTCTGGGTGATAGCTGTTCTGTAGAATCTTGGCCTAAGCTCACAAAGTGAAAGCTTTATAATCATAATCATTTATAACAAGCAGGTAGGTATTTTTATGTCTAAACATAATTAAGAATTTGTAAAATAATGTTAACAATGCGTTTATTTCCCACAGGATTTCTACCTTTTTATGTTCTTCATTAATAGTCTCAGTATTACTCTTCTCATTAATTCTATTTTTAGTGTATGCATATCTATTCTAGTAGCTGCAGTAGGTCTCTCTCACTCCTTGCCACTTAAGTATTTCATACTAAACGCGCTTCATAATTTTTCCTGACAAAATGAGAAAGGGAGGATTTCAGCTATCTCTGTTCACTTTCTGCCTAAAACGTGTCTATGTATGCAATACTTTTTAAATTCTTCTGACAGACTTCAGATCTTTTCAGCCTTTCTGGAATTTTAGTATCCGCTGTGCATTTCAAATTAATAACACTGTTAGAGTTGAATTTGTATGGTAAACCTTCTTGAAGCAGTCTTGAAAGTCATCTATTCCCTGTTCAATGCATTTGTGGTGCCTCGGTGAAATGCTTCAGCTGAAGTCTTGCACGTCTGTTCTGCTGTCTGTAAAATGTCATACTCTAATGTCTGCCACGTCCTGACTTCAAGCTTGACAGTTCTGATCTGTTCTCCTGTTAAATCTTTCTATTTAATCTTGCAGCCACGCTGTGTGTGCACACGTGTTTGTGCGCATGTGTAGATATGAGACCATAACATCTCTTCTGTTTTCAAGTTTCTTTCCTCGTTTATCATATATTCTACGTGTATTTTCTAGTTTAAGCATACTTAAATGTAGACATTATACTCCAAACAAATCCAATTGTTTTGGAGCATCTCTTAGATGCTTTACAGTAGCTTTGTCATTAAGCTGGCAAAGGGCTAAGTTTCTTGTTTGTTCCGCGGACATCCCTTCAGACCTGTCGTGCTCTCAGGCGGTTGTGTTGACCCCGTAGTTTCTAGGGGAGGACGTGGCTTTGCCCTTGGCGCTGAAGCCTGCAACCCAGACTTGTACTTCGGCCTGCGCTGGCACCCGCGGGAGCTTCCCGGGTGAAGCGCCGTCCTCGGCGCGGGGGACACCGCTTCATCCCTCCTCAGCATTTCGCTGTCATCCCATGTGGAAACGTTTCCTTACGTAGGAGAAAGTTGCCTTCCAGTTTCTACTTGTTTCTTTCTCATGTTTTAACCATTTTTACCTAAATTGCATTTTAAAATTGTATCCAAACTTTCGACATAGTATCTGTTCTGAAGTTTTCTGACTATTCTGATATTGTATATTAAATCTCTAGTTTCTTCTGTCTCTAAATCAATAGCTTTTTCATTTTAGAAAGTAATCATTTGTCTGACGTGATTTACCTTTCACAAATCTGTGTTGACTTCCCCTATTAAATTGTACTTCTCCAACTGTGTGTTTAAGCTGTCTACAAATATCATCTAAAAAATATTCTAATATACATGCTATATATGAAATTTTCAGCTTCTCTTCTAGCCTTTCCAGATATTGAAAACTTATCTCTAGTAATCAGTTTAGACTTCCTAAAAAATGAAATAATGACTGATTCTGCTTGTAGCTGTCTTAAACAGGTAATCCATATCCAACCAGTTCTCTGTCTGCCTTCAGCTTACAGTGTTAGTTACTGAAGTCCGTTGAATTATTTCCCTCTGGTGGTTCTTATTAGAGTCTAAAAATATCCCTCCTATCATGACCGTTATCAGAAATAGATGCAGAACCTGAGGATGGCGAAGCAGACTGCAAATGTTTTTCAGGAACCAGGAGTCCTTATAAATGAAAGTCAGTGTCTTTTCTTTTAAGTAAAAGTGAATGAGCAAATGGGTATAAAAGCTCTTTACTCTGCTCGGGTTCTTAGAGAAGCCCTTGTTCCCCCTAAAATATAAGTAAAGTTATTTAAATAAGAAAATTTTGTTTTCCTTTGCTCATGCAAACTTTTTAAAGTTATAACAGAAAAATGTTGACATATGAGTTAAAATTCCTTATACAGAGAACTGCTGTCTTTATTTTTCACCCTACTGAGTCTCTGTCTCTTGCTCTTTATTTTTCCCCCCTAATAACGCCATGCATTTCAGTACAGCAATGCCGTAACGAGAGCTGCAGTGTTCAGAATATGCTCCTGAATACGGACCCGAATCCCTTGGGAGAGTGCGGCCTGTGGCTGCTCTGCCTGCTCCAATGGCAGGTGGCTGGCAAACCACGTCCTCGGGGTTTTCGTGGACTGAGAGCACTCATGACTTTAATCTTGCAGTTCTCCTGTTTTTTCCCTTTTTTCCTTATTACTAGTACTTAGATCTAGCTCACAAACCTTTGCCTTCCGTGCATGAAGGTTGTTGTAAATGCGTGTAAATGCAGGGGGTTTCTGTGTCTGCATTTCTTTGCCCTCTGTAGGGGAGGCAGGTAAGTGATAACCCAGGTTACCAGGACTTGGTCTTAACTGAGTCTCCTCATTTACTTGGACTCGTGTTTATGGATGTACATATATGCCCATGTCGAAACTGAAGTAGAGATCTTAAGTCTTCCATTCTAACATGCACTTTTTTGGCCTTATTTTTCCTTCATACTGTAATAATGTCTTCCAGTTAATGCTGATTTTAAAATTAGATTTTTGTATTTAAATCCGTGTGACCAAGACTTGCAAGAGTGAATGGAGATGTGAGATGCCAGAGGCCTGCTGATCTAAGGAAGAGGCCTGCAAGCCTCTTCCAGTAATATCTGCGATATTAATGGAATAAATGGCAGTAGTATATGAGAATTGCATTAAAGTGTCTTGTTTCTCAAAACTTTTGGAAATACCTTAAAACTGTGTCATCACGACTTACAAAATAATAACTGATCGCTTCTTAATCTTTTGGCCTCAGAACAAACAATAATATTCGAGTACTTTCTCGGGGCGGGAGGTGCGTAAGAGGAGGCTCCTCGCGCTGCCGCTGGGGCTGCCTCACTTGCTTTGCGTGTGTCTGCTCTCCCTTCCAGCCCTGATAACATGGGGCTGCTCGACCCAGCCACCAGCGACGGCAGAGTGATCTTCTTCCTGCCCTGGGAGAAGATGACAATAGCAGGGACCACGGACAGCCCCACGGACGTCACTTCCCATCCGATACCGACGGAAGAGGACGTGAACTTCATTCTGAGCGAAGTGCGCAACTACCTGAACTGCGACGTGGAAGGTAGCGGCCGCGCGCTGCGCACGGGAGCGTGCGGGCCGACGCGCCGGGTGACCGCGCCGCTTGTGTGCCTGGGGCTTGCTAGCACAGCGGGGACGTAAGTGTCACCTGCAGCTGTGCCTCGGGGCTGCGAAAGGAGGCTTTGCAGGATGCACCTGCACTTCTTGCACTGCTTAAGTGGAGATCAGCCAGTATCAGAACATTCAGATTTCTTAGACTTTCAGCTAGCTGGCACTAACTGTCTAGGCTGCACAGGCCATTTCTCCTGGTCTTCCTGGTTTGCAAATGGCACTTTTCTGGCAGTGGGACAGTTGAACCATACATTAACATAGGTACATCAAATCATTCACTTATTCCTCTTGAAAAGGAGTTGTTTCGACTTTTCCAATTCTTTGTTCCTATTTTTTTTTCCAAGTACTTCACCCTTACCAGTTCCTTTCCTTGAGCTGGTAAATGTCCCATAGTGTCAGTTTCCTGTTGCAGAAGGCAGTATAATGGGCAGAAAGGAAATTTATAAATCTGGCTCTTCCCCTCAACGGCTGACCCTGGAAGAGCAGCTCATTTGTTGCAAGGCACTGGCCCGTTTGGGCCCGGGATTCTGGTGTAAGGCTGAGACCTCGTCTCTCCTGGCTGTGTCTTTGAGCCAGCCAGTTTCCATCACAGTGAGGTTTTTAAATGGTTCTGTGAAAGCTCTTGTGCTCCTAGATTTCTCTTGTAGTAGGAGCATTAAAATAAATCCCGAAAGCACTCTTCTTGTCAGAGACACTAGAGCATCCTTTACCCGGGGTCTAGGAAGCTTGCTCTTCAGAGCTCGCAGATAACTCTGTTACTTGTTTCTGCTTCCCCAAGGTGGGTAAGTGATGGCTCTATTCGTATAAAGCTAGATAAAGTCTTTACCAAATGTGCCATTAGGTTTCTGATGCAGAGGTCCGAGGGGCCGGGCCGGTGCCTCAGCGCGAGCGAGGTGGCAGCTCCGAGGTGTTCTGCAGCAGCGCGTTCTGGAGAGCTCCGTGCTCTAGACGGAAGCCTACCTAGGTGCATGCTGTTTTTCACACATGCAATTAGCAGTGTTTATAGATTGCCTGTTATTGAATTAACAACTGTGCTGGCCATATCAACTCACTGCAGACCTGCCTTTTTGCTGCCAGAGACAGTGCCAGGGTTATCAACTTACACAGGCTTGGATATGTTCCAACTGTTTAATTATAGTGTCACGCATGCTGCTTTTTCTAGTTTCATTAGTTTATAAACGTAATATGGTATCTTATTTCTGTGATTAACACTTCATTTTGGCAGGTTAAACATGCTGGCAGAGCACCATTGATTTCTGAAATCTATTTTGTGTTCTTTGGGGGATATTTTTACACCCTATTATTGATTTTTCATTATCAGTTATTTGAAAGTTATAGTAAAAATGTTCCAAAGGCTTCACTACAAAGCAAATTGGTCAATTTTTCTATTGTAAATTTAATAAGCGGCAAAATTAAGTTCATTAAATTCTCTATTGGTCCCATGTTTTATTGAAAATGAATAAATAAATGCCGGCTTTCAGAAGCCGGGGTATCTTCCTTCAGCCGTTAAGGGCTTTTCGGTGTTGTGTTTCGGGCTGCTCGATGCGCTCCGAGGTTGCTGCTCTCCTGGCTGCAGAGGCAGCCGGCCCGCGAGGGCTGCCCGGTGCCGGGACAGGGCCGCGTGAGGCAGCGCAGGCCCCGGCGGCCTCGGGAGCGCGCGGCCGAGCCCAGGGGAGGCCCTGGGTAAAGACGCGTTGTGAAATCCACAAAAACAGTCACTGTGTTTTACAGACAACCGTGGGGTCCTTAAAGCACGGCGCGATGTTCTCGCAGAACAACCCCTGTCTGCGGTTCCCAAATTCGGTGTCGCGGCTGCGCGGTCAGCGAGAGCTGGCGAGGAGGAGCCGTGGTGCTGGGGTGGCCGTTGCTTGGGGCCAGGGACTTTGGGCCTGTGTGGGTTGCTGCTGTTTTGGATGATGTTGTTTTGTTTTGTTTTGTTTTAGTTGAGCAAAGTCAGGAGTTTAGCCTCATAGTGAATCAGTTCCCTGTTGGATTTTTACCCACCTTAAAAAATGAACCTCTTTGTGACGGGTCTGTTTTTGGGTAGAGAAAAGACGTTTTCGGTGTTTATAGGTCATCTCTCTGGTTTCGACAGTGAGAAGAGGAGACGTGCTGGCAGCATGGAGTGGCATCCGTCCTCTGGTCACGGACCCCAACTCCAAAGACACTCAGTCAATATGCCGCAACCACATTGTCACCGTCAGTGACAGTGGCCTTATCACAATAGCAGGTACGGGAGGTTCATTGTAAATAAAGCTTTGCTGGGCTTCCCCAGGGAATTTTCCTCACAACTTTAATGTACTTACAGGATACTGCTTGGCATACCTGTATTTAATAGTGGTCTGTGACTCATTTCTTAGAATAAGCTTAATAAGATTGATGAGATATATAGGGTGTGAAGCTGGCATGTGCTATATGTATATACACACACAAAGGTATGTATGTATATATGCATATTTCTCTCAATTTCATCCCAAAAAACAAATAAATGTGTTGCTCCCAGGTGGGAAGTGGACAACGTACCGCGCCATGGCGCAGGAGACCATTGACACTGCGATCCAGACTCACGGGCTCAAGGCCGGTTCCAGCAGGACGGTTGGGCTGCAGCTGGAGGGGGCTCAGGACTGGAGTCCCACTCTCTACATTAGGTTGGTCCAGGATTACGGGCTTGAAAGCGAGGTGAGTCCCTAGGCTTTCTGTCTGTGCCCACCTGTTTCTGTGTTGGAGGGTCCTGCTTTGCTCATTTAACCTGCTACCGGCCTGACTTGTATTAAGGGCTGTTAAGTCAGATGAGACCTGGCCAGGGTAAGGCTAGTTTTAGAGGAAGTAAGTTCTGGTAATTAATCTTTTCTCATAGACATATGCCATTTTTTCATTCTCCTCTTCATAATCTTAAAATTGGTTCCAACTTTTAAGTGCATGTGACAAGCCAGAGTTTCTTGCCCTTCAAGTCAACAAAAGGTCCACCTTGGATGTGATCACCGTGTAGCAGGAACGAGCTGAAGCATCATCAGTCACCGCTACATTGATACATGTGTAGTAGTGTTAATGCTGGTCTAAGCATTCACAACACAAGTAGTTTCCTCCCACACAATCAAAACCTAATACCCTCCTCACCCTATTTGTTATCTCCGATGGGAGAATTGACATTAAAAAACCTTACATATATTTGTTGTGCTTTTGAAAGAGTGCTGCATTTGCTTTCATTTCCATAGGTGGCTCAGCATCTGGCTTCTACGTATGGTGACAAGGCTTTTGAGGTGGCAAAAAGAGCCCAAGTTACAGGAAAGAGATGGCCTATTGTTGGGAAGCGTCTCGTATCTGAATTTCCTTATATTGAAGCTGAGGTATGTGGAAAAGCTACATAATCCTCTTTGCTTTTTTGAAAAGAAGCAGATCTGAGATTAGTCTGTCTGTCTGTAAAGCATCTTCATAAGTACTTTCTTTCGAGATCTGATTCTGGGATGTTAAAAAAAAAGTAACATTTTGTAAAATTTGAAATAAGATTGATTTTTTATCCTGCATATATAGCCATCTTTGATCCCAGGTGTGATTTTCAAAATGTTCTAGGAAAAGGGGGGATTGTCTAATGTTTTTCTTAGTATGTAGAGTGGGATCTAGTTACACTTTTTCTTAGTTTATTCTGTTCTCTGGGGCCAGTGATGCAATTTGTGATGCTGAAAATCATTCCCAGGCAATGTTCCTGTTTACTTTTTCATCCCATTCGCCAATGCCTTCTGTTGTTTTTGCCTTCCTTTGAAATAGCTCATTACAGTGCTCAGCCATTAAAAATAAATGAATAAAATCTTGGTTTTTAACCTCCCTTCCTGTTCTAGGTCGTGTACGGTGTGAAAGAGTATGCCCGCACGGCCGTGGATATGATCTCCCGCCGCACGCGCTTGGCCTTCCTGAATGTGCAGGCTGCTGAGGAAGCTTTGCCAAGAATTGTAGATATCATGGGGAAGGAACTTAACTGGAATGAGCAGAAAAAAAAGGTACAAAGGGCGTTTTTCATCTGAAACTGTTTTGTTTCTCTTAAGTAGTTTCCATGTTAACAATCTAAATCAGTTGAATGGAAAACTTCAGATGATGCTTTCTTCCTGCGACAGTAAATCCCGTGGTGTATTTCAGTATGAAAGACTTGATCAAAGTAGCTGTCAGCTGAGCTTGTGTTGGCTGGAGGTGGAGGGGAAAAGTGAAGATCTGTATCCTGCTGCTAAAAAAAAAAAAAAAAAAGGAAAGCAAATTTGCCATAATTATCCTATTCCTAGACAGATTTTCTTTTTTTGCAGTGATGCTTCTCAACAGGACAATCTCGGCAGGCACATTTTTGTGTGTCGTTTTTTCCCTTTGCCTGCATGTCCTGTGTGAGTGACGCCGCAGTTCTGCTCAGCTCTACGGAGTGGGACTCGTCGTGTTTTTGTGGAGGTGCTGGTAGTGTGGGCAGCTGTATCTGAGCTAACCGCTGTCCACACAGCTGGGCCAGGAGACTTGTCCTAAATGCAAGCCCTCATTTGCTGTGAGGCACTGAGTTGCATCCCGCATCTGCGCTCTCGTTTAGATCCCCGTTTACTAAAATTAATCCTACCACTTCTGACCACACAAGTTGCCGAGGGCCCTTTCCTCCTGCTTTTATGACCCAAGAAAGCACAGCCAGTGCCGTACCCACGCGGGCCGTGCGGGCCGGAAGGGCTTTGGCTGTGTTGAAGCAGACAGGAGCCGTCCCTGCTCCGCGGGACGCGGCGGATCCCCGCGGAGCCTCGGGAAGGGCCTGGCAGGCGGATGGGCTGCGCACCGGGTGCTGGTGCTTCTGTAGCCGCGCTCGCGCCATCGCCAAGGGCCACGTTTTCCATCCCAGTCTGTTTTTTGTTTTTACTTCTTTTTTAAATTACAGCTGGAGCTACAAGGCACTTCCATGCATATTCATAATGTGTTTCTTAGTTTGGGTCTGATAAGACCATTAACTTTAAAGTCCCAAACAAACAAACAAGAAACACTTAAAACTAGTTGCATGCTTGTAATGAAACGTGAGTTTGTCCTGTGTAGCTTAGGTGGTGTCCTGATGTGCCTTAAAGAACCAGGCTCTTGCTGGGTAAGGTCCTCGGCTCCAAGTGTGCTCTAGATATTGTACATGCCTAGGGATTTCTTACAGTTAGTGCAGCCGTTACTCAGCACACAGGTATTTACTTGTAACCTGCCGTGGGAGCTTTCATGCTGGTGACTTTTGTGACAGATGCTTGTGCCACTCTTGGAACCATGTTTGAGGTACCTAAATCTATACAAATCTGTGTGCTCTCCTGTATGTTATCATTTTTTTAATAGTGGCCACAGAAGAGCTTGGCCCACGCTTTCAGGATTCAGTAACTTATTTATTCACTAATTCAGTAACTTAATTTTACTACCAAACCATTTAAAACATCAAGAACCCGCTTAGTGTTGATCCTCCTGATTTTTGCTGATTTAGGTAGTTAGGTGAAGCACAGTGCTAAGTTACCAACTGTGAATCAAATTCCCAGGTGTGGTTCTCCTGGCATGGGTGCAAACAGCATGTGTGGCTGAAGATGTGATCCTGGGAGTGTTTACACAGTCCGTGTGTCCTTATGCAATTACCAAGTCAATAAAGACTTGTACTTCTTTTGTTCAAGGCTAAAAATGCCTAAGCTTCTGTAACTTGTTTTTTAAGAGACTTTTTAGCTACCATCTGCTTAATTTTTGGACATTATAAATTCTAGTTAAGTGTAAGGAGCTAACAAAATACTACATTGGAAATCATGATGTAAACTTGTATTTCTCAGAAACAGAGACTTTTTCTTTTCTGGTGTAGGAAGAACTGGAAGCTGCTAAGAAGTTTCTGTATTATGAAATGGGCTACAAAGTAAAATCTGATCAGTTAACAGACAGATCTGAAATCACTCTAGTGCCTTCAGATATTGAAAGGTAGGTAAAGCAGTAGACTTGCCTGGGCTGTTAGGAATTAATCCCTGTCACACTTTGAGTGCAGTTTTTCACACTGATAATCCTTGCAGATACAAGAAGCGATTTCACATGTTTGACAAGGAGAAGAAAGGGTTTATTACTATAGTGGATGTCCAGCGTGTCTTGGAGGTAACATTTTCTTATTTTATTTTCCTTTTCAAAGCTCTTAGCTATGTTGTAGGTGGGGCATAAATAGTGAGGGTTAATGCTGTGCCATTCTCCTTTGTTTTTTTTGTCTAGAGCATCAGCGTTCAGATCGATGAAAACACCCTTCACGACATCCTGAACGAGGTGGACCTCAACAAGAACGGGCAGGTGGAGCTCAACGAGTTTCTGCAGGTAGGTGCTTCCTTGCGCGGCAGCTGTGGCTTTAGTGACCAGAGCGTGGGCATTTATTGCCTTATCTCCCCTTCTGCCCCCATCTGCGGAGGGTGGGTTGGAGATGAGGGGAGCAACACTTGGGTGCTGCTGTGGTTTTAGTGCTATTTGCCAGGTCTCGAGACAAAGGTGCTTGATAACAACCACCCCCAGCCACTTTGAACCACGGCTTTCCTGTGCAGACATTGATCTTGTAAGACCCAAAGAATAGGCACTAGGTGGAGAATGTACCTGAATTTGACTGTCTAAAATAGCAATGCTGTTTAAATCAAGTCAGACTAAGACAGTTGCCCGATGAAAGTTGTATGGCAGTTATGTACAGTGACCTTGGTGTGGGCCGAGTAAGTGGGTAAAATATTCAGGGGAGTTTAGTAGTACCAGAGAATGAGGAAATGCAAGTTTGTTGTTGAAGCAGATCTAGTCCATATCATCCTGTTTAATTTCTGAATTAACTTGGGGTACCTCAGCGTGTGTAAAAAGAGTACATTAGCAAGCAAGCATCTGCTGTTTGCAAGGCTTTAAAACAAGAGATTGGAAGGTGCCCCTGAAGCGTTCGTTTGCTCCGCGCCCCTGGCACGGGCAGTTGCTGCCAGCCAGCCTGGTCTCTGTGCAGCCTTTGCTGGTCAGGCATTTCAAGGGACTGCCATGCGCTCTGCACGGTGGCAATGATGAATGCCGAACATGAGATAAATTAATGCTGGGGATTTTGGTCAATGTCAGCCCTTTCTTCACTGTGTCAAGTTAAACAAACAAGATCAAGGCAGAGGAAATGGTAATTGTCTCTCTCGAGATGAGCTGCAGATAAGAGCATTGTTGAATCTAAATGCAGAAAATTTTCACAGGTTGTGTCCAGCATTACAAAAAAGGAGTATTTATTTGCCTAAAATGCAGTGGTTTAGCTGTGAGAGTAAAATGCATTTAAGAAAAAAAAAAAAAAAAAAAAGAGGGGGGGGGGGGCAAGGAGGAGGGGGAGGGCAAGAGAGGAAAAAAGCGGCTTTGGGAGCTTATGCTTAGGGATTGAAATAAAAAAAAATCACTGGTGGTTTTCTGGCTATTGAGGAAGGTCCCCTCTCACATCACTTTGCATGTGAAAAGTTTAACTGGAAAAAAACTAATGTGTTTAATTTGGTTAAGAATCCATTATAGTTAAAAATGCGAAACATCTGCAAATTCTGCCTGCTCCTTTGGTTTTTTTTTTTGCTTGGTTTTGAGTTTTTTTAGTAGGTTTTCGGATTCTTTATTTTACTCTGAATTGTCTCACTGGGGATGAGAGTATTTCTAAAATACAAGTGACAAGTCGCTACTTTGCCGTATGCGGTGCTTGCACCTTTTTTCCCAACTCCGTGGCTCGCGGGCCGAGCTGCCCGCTGAGAACAAAATACATTAGATGTTTGTTTAATTTTTTAATGGATCTGTTCAGTCAGTTCCCAATACTTTTGTGTTTGCTTTCTGGAAACTTTCAGGTAATTGCGTTTTCCCGGCAGAACGCTCGTGGAAAGCTGTGTGCAAATATTTGTGGCCGCGGCATTAGCATACGGGAGCGGCGGTAGATGTATACTCCCTCAATGAAGCACACCAGTAAACACCCATAATTATCACATTATGTGTATTTAAAACATTTGTTTGTACAGTACCTCAAATACAGGGTGTAAGACACAAAACTATATTTCACATGAACTACTTCCTCATCACATATAATTCTGTTTTCAATCAAAAGAAGCCCAACTTGTAGAGCTTCCCTGCCGTATTAGCTGTCCTTGCCAGGTGAGATCATCTGCTGCTTTCCGAGAGACGACAGCAGCGAGGCAAGCAGCACTGTGACTGACTGACCTGCACACTCAACGCACCTGTATAGGCAGATCCCAGAGCAAAACGAGGGGGTCACCCTCTTTGCTATGAGGGTGACAGAGCCCTGGAACAGGCTGCCCAGAGATGTTCCTTGTGCAGTCTCCTTCTCTGGAGATCTTCCAAACCCGCCTGGATGCCACCCTGTGCCACGTGCTCTAGATGTTCTAGGGGGGTTGGACTAGATGATCTCCAGAGGTCTCTTCCAGCCTGAGCCATTCTGTGATTCTGTGAGGGCTGGAGCACGGCAGAGCATCAAGGGACAGAGCACGTCCCAGCAGCTATCGTACCATGGCTCCTCACCGACATGGCACTCCATGCCGCGAGCCAACCCAAGAGAATATTTCTGACCACTACCAGAGGTAAGGGCTATGCCTGTATCACACAAGCCAGTGCAGAAAACCTCATACATTCAGTAAAAAAGAAAGCAAGAAATTCAGAGGCCTGTGGGCTGCAAGGTCAGGCGCTGACCCAGAAAGCAACGTGAAGGTGCAATACTGCTGTTTTTCCTGACCACAGACAGAAATGGCTTTTTTTTCCCTCTCTTTTTTTTTTTTTTTTTGAAGTGCTGATTGCTTTTCATATTAGTCTTTTACAAGCTGGCTGCATGTAATTTCAGGTCTAATGCTCATTTTATCCGTGGGATAAAGAAGAATTTAGCTAAAATCTTAGCACTAGTCTGTGTTCATTAAGGCAGAGCCGAGTCCAGTCTCCAGGACTTAGAGGCAGATTAGTTCCTGCAGCCTGTGAAGGAGTTTGGGTTTGTGAGGGCAGTGCAGTGGGTGCCCCTGGCAGGGGGGGCGGCGGGGGGGTCTCCTGCTCCTGCTCGCAGGCTGGCTCAGGCCCAAGGGCCCTGCCCTGCCGGGGTGGCCGTGTTCTCAGCGGAGCCCGGGGCCGGGGCTGGTGGGCCAGCGGGGCTTCCACAGGGCTCCTGCTGGAGCCTGTCCCATCTCCGTGCCTGGGCAAATCACGCTGGGGCCTTCCTGGAAAACGTGGATGAGCGCGATGAGGGGACGCTGTTCCCTAGGGCAGCGCTTCCTGGCACCCGCGACCGCCAGGCCGGATGCCAGCGCTGTCCCTGCTCCCTCGCACGGCCTCTGCTTGTGTCCCAGGGCCCTCCTTGCACCGTGCGGGTGGGATGTGGGACGCGGGACGCGGGATGGTAGCGGCCGCGCGTCTCGCTCGTGGT